GTAATTACCGCCGTGGCCATCGGAATTGCTAACGAGAGCCTGACATTTTCAAATCAGTCCTAGTTCTCAGTGATCTGGAAGTGGGGTGGCAGAGGGGGGAGCGGCTCAGCTACAACCACTGCATGCCAATGAAGCAGGTCAGCTTCCAAGCACAGCAGAGGGATGGGGCTCAGTGGGCACACTTGGATTCTGTGAGTTGAACTTAGTGACCATCCCTGAGGGACCAGTGTGAAGGGAAGGATATTTTTCAACACTGTCTTTGGCTGTCTGTTCAAGGGATATGGTGTGTGTGTGTGTGTGTGTGTGTGTGTGTGTGTGTGTGTGTGTCTGTGCCTGTGTCTCTGTGTTAGTACACTGTGTGGAAGCTGAAGGTCAACCCCTTAGATGTCTTTTCTCATGAGCCATTCACATTAAAAATAATTTAAAAATATTTATTTTAAGAGAGAGACAGAGAGAGAGCGTGAGAGCGAGCGAGAGAGAGAACGAGAGAGAGAGAGAGAGAGAGAGAGAGAGCGAGAGAGAGAGAGAGAGAGAGAGAGAGAGAGAGAGAGAGAGAGAGAGAGAGAGAGAGAGAGAGAATGCGAATTCAGGTGTCTATTGAGGCCAGAAGAAAACACTGGATTCTCTGGAGCTATGGTTACAGGCCACTGTGAACTGTACTGGGGTTCTTAGCAAGTGTTTTACCAGTGTGTGAAGAGCCTCCCTCAGACACTCCACTATGCCTTCCCACCATGTGACTGAAGTGCTGACCCAAAAGAAATCTTCCCCTATAAGTTGCCCTGTCAGGTATTTTGTCACAATGACAAAAAGAAAAACGGATATAACTGTGCTACGGAGCTTTTGTTACTGTGATAAAATATCTGGGCAAAAGAATAGGAGATTGTAGAAAAGAGCTCTACCACTGAGCCACACCCCAGCCCCTCACTGGGGGATTCTAGGCAGGTGCTCCACCACTGAGCCACACCCCAACCCCTCACTGGGGATTCTAGGCAGGTACTCATACCCCAACAAACTGAGTCATATCCCCAACCTCTTTTTATTTTTTTACTTTGAAACAGGTCTTGCTTAGTTGCTCAGATTGGCTTTGAACTCACTCTATAGTCTTGGCAGGCCTTGAACTTGTAATCCTCCTGTGTCAGTGTTCCTAAGTAGCTAGAATGACAAACTCTTAAAGTTAGGACAGATTACAAAGAAAACTTTCTCTCTTTTCTTTAAACTTTTTTTTTTTTACATCCCGACTGAAGTTTTCCTTCCCTCTTCTCTTCCCAGCTCCCCCAGTGTCCCCCCCCCCATCTATTCCTCCTGTGTTTCTGTTCAGAAACAGGCAGGTGTCCCATGGATATCATCAAAACATGGTATACCAAATTGCAGTTAGACTAAGCACACCCTTGTGTTTAGACTGGGCAAGGTAACCCTGTATGAGGAATAGGGTCCCAAAGTGTTAGGGACAGCCCCTGCTCCCACTGCTAGGAGTCTCACAAGTAGACCAAGCTACACAACTGTCACATATATACAGAGGGCCTAGGTTGGTCCCATGCAGGCTCCCTAGCTGTTGAACCAGACTCTGTGAGCTCCTATGAGCCCAGATTAGTTGTTTCTGTGGGTTTTCTTGACCTCTCTGACTCCTACAATCCTTCCTTCCTCTCTTCAGCAGGATTCCCCAAGCTGGGCCTAATGTTCAGCTGTGGGTCTCTGCATCTGTAGGAGAGCTCTTATTTAATGAGTCTTACTTGGGTGATTCTTATGCATGGTGAGCTGTAGTGAGAGTCCTGCACTATGTCCCCTGTGGCTCAGGGATGTGGCCAGCGGTGGCTTTCTCTAATACCTTTGGCCTGGTGACAAGTGAAAAGAAACACAGTACAAGGGCACTAAAGGACTTGACAATACTCTTCACGGGCCAAAAATGAGAAAGAAAGTGCCCTGCTATGCCTTATTCGTATTATTTTTCCTCATTTACTCGACTTCCCCCATTTGGAGACATCATTCTTCCCTTACTATTTCTTTCCATCTATCTTTTGCATCTCACAATTTTTCTATCTCCATTCACATGCCCATCTCTCTATCTGTCATCCATTTATTTATCTGTCATCTTTCCAGCCACCCACCCACTCACTCACTCATCTGTCCCCGTATTCTCCTATGCCTCTGCCTGTCCAGCCACCTGCCTCTGGCTTGCTATAGAAGGAGTTTAGGATGAAGACAA